AAACTTTAGACTCAAAGATTAATTACTCTTTCATCTGGTTAAAACTTTAAGAACACTATGGGGAATGTGGGTGTAAGGGATCGTTGGATCTGCCCCAAAGCTCGATATTTTTTTCATGGAGGGGCAAAGAGGGGGTGAATTAACTAAATCAATTGGTTAATCTTTAACCTCCCACCTGCCGATTTCTCTCTCCTGTTTTGAACATAAGAGAAGCCAATGTTGGATCAGGCCAATGGCCCATCTAGTCCAACAGTCTGTAACACAGAGGCCAGAAATACCAGGTGCCATCAGAAGGCCCAGCAGTGGGGCCAGGACACTAGAAGCCCTCCCACTGTTGCTCCCCCCAAGCACCAAGAATACAGTGCATCACCTGCCCCAGCCTGTGAGTTCCTATCTATACCTTGTGGCTAATAGCCACTGATGGACCTCTGCTGCCATTGAATTTTATCTTGTTGGACTGTATTTATATTGTTGGAACCTGCCCTGAGCCCGTCAAGGGGAGGGCAGGATATAAATCCAAATAAACATAAACATACAAATGAAACAGAAGTTGGGGCTAGTTGAATGGATTTTATGTCCATTGATGGTTCTACCAAGGCAGTTGAATGGGTTCCCAGATATAGATAAAAGATGGGAGATGGGTGTCTCATTAGTGTCAGGAAGGATCTTTAATAATTTGAATGCTTGATTGGTTTATCTTGGTATCCTGAGGGATGGAGCAAGGAAGGACAAATATCACACAGACATGGGATCACACAAAAGGGCTGGGTGAGGTTCTGGAGACAGGGCTATTCACAAGGCGGCCTTTGAATAGCCTTTAGAAATTTAGATACCTACCTGGTGGAACTCACTGTTTCATATGCATAATAATAAATAATAATAATCTTTCCATTTATTGCTCACTCAGTCCTGCAGAGCTTGCTGGCTCTGAGCGATTTACAGTTACTCATTTTTCACGAGCGACTAACAATGTTGTGGGGTAAGGGAGGACAGCATATATACATCTTAAATTGCACACATTCACAGCCGATGAGGGTTTCGTTCAGTTGCAGATGAGACGTGATCCGGAACGGCATTTTCCTCGGCCTTTTTGATGGCCTCAGCTGTCTCCAGACTCCTTTGAGTTGTAGCACCACACTGCCATCGCCTGGCCGGATGTCCCATTACAGGCTTTTTCCATGCCGATGAGATCTCTCTAGGCTTTCCAATCTTGCGAGCTTGACTTCCATTCGCCGGCTAACACCGCTCCACCCCATGAAGGGGAGGGTTCAGTGTGCCCACTCTCTCTAAGGAGTGGTACCCATTTTATCTACTCACTGAAGCTTTCGAACCGCTGGGTAGACGGCGAGCTGGGGACAAGGCTGGCAGCTCACACCAGCGCGGGGCTCGAACTGACAGCAAGCCTGTTCAGCTCAGATGTTACTATTTTAACCAGAGGATAAATCCTCTGTGCCACCACTCCTTCCTGAGTGAGGAAGAAGACTGGAGGTTTACTCTGAGGGTTGCCTTGTTGTCACCTGAAAATGGACAGTCTGTTTCCAGAGCTATGATTTGAGTTTCAGAGCCAGAAGTGTCTTCCTTGGCCTGAGTTTTGTGGGTCTCTGGTTCATGCTAGAAAGTGCTATTGGGGCGACCCAAGAGTAAAGGGTAAAGGAATGGAATAATCCTCTCCCCTTCAGCACTTGGCAGATCATATAGTTTTCCTCAGCTGATGCTGACCAGTCGGAGAAGGGGAGCGGCCTGCCGCTCAGACTCTCCGTTACAATTAAGAGTTTCCATCTCTCTAACTTTGCGGGATTAGGAAACCTGTTTTTAAGTGCAGTCCATCATAGGGACCATTATAGTCCATTGGGAACCCATCTGGGGGTATCCAGGAGACTGAGGGGCTGTTCTTGAGGTAGAGGCATCAAAATTTCAGAGTAGCTTCTGGTGCCTTTCTTCAAAAGCCCCCCCCCCCAGTTTCAAAAAGATTGGGTCAAGGGGTCCAATTCTATGAATGCCCAAAGAAGATGCTTCCATCCTCCTTTGTTTCCAAAAGTGGGGGGAAACAGGAAAAACCTAAGGAGTGATGTCAAACCAGAGAGTCTCTGTAGTAGAAACTGAAGGGGGGGATTTTTCTAAGCCCAGCAGAACCAGTGTATATATAGAGTGCCCAGCTGAACCAGTGCCACTTTGGTAATGCCATTTTAACACTTCCAAGCCAGGGGTGCGTGTCTGTGCAAGCACAGCACAGACAAATCGTGCAGCAGAACCAGTGCATGTACTGAGTGCCCAGCAGAACAAGTGCATGTACAGAGTGTCCAAAGAAGGTGCCCCCATCCTACATTGTTTTCAATGGAGAGGGAAAGCGTTTAAATGGAGAGGGAAAGCGTTTAAAGGAAGGCACTGGGTTTTGCTAGGCACTAGTACATTGCACTGGTATTGCTTGGCACTCTGTTCATGCACTGCCTATGCTGGGCTTGAAACCAACCCTTGTCTGGATTTATTGAGCTGGCATTGCAACAGTCACATTGGTTCTACAGGGCACTCTGTACATGCAGGGTTCTGCTGGGCACTCTGTATATTTATTGGTTCTGCTGTGCTAGGCTTGCAAACCCCACCCCCCTTGCTTGGATTTGTTGAGCTGGAATTGCCACAGTGGCACTGGTTCTGCAAAAATGCCCCCAACCTTCAGTTTCTACTGCAGAGACTCTCTGGTTTGACAGCAGCCCCTGCTTTTGTGCTTTCCCCCCTCCTTTGGAAATAATAGAGGATGGGGAATCTCCTTTGGGGCCCATACAATAGGGCCCCCTGATCCTACCTTTTTGAAACTTGGAGAGTCTTTTGAGTAGAGACTCCAAAAGCTATGCTTCTACCTTAAAAAAAAGTCCTCCCAGACCCCCATATATACCCAATGAGATTCCCCATTGTAGCCTATGGGGATTACTAAAGGCCCCCATAGGCTATTATGGAGCCAAAAGGCATTTAATGGTGTCACGTCATGGTCCCTCTAAATGTGCTTGTGAAGCTACAGTTTCACTAGTGAAGATTCAAATGGGATTCCAACACCAAAATCCGGAGAGGTGTTCTGGGATCCACTGTTCACATGACATTATTTACCATCTGGGAACTTCAAGAATCTAGTTTCTACCCTACTTCCTTTCTAAGCCAATATTAGTGAAAGTTGATTAGAATTATGATTGTCCCAGGAGGTGGAGTCATTGGTACCATTTCATACCCATATTTTCAAATATAATACGATGGCTACTTCTCATCAGATTAATCTCCATTTTGGAAGCCAATTATGTGCAGGATATAGCTGGAATCTCAACACATAATAAATACTCATCCATGTTTCTGTGTAGTAAGGAATTGGTGCTGGCAGGGTTTTCCAGTGCACATGGCAAAACATGGATGTGTTGGTCATCACATTTGATTATGTTTTTCTAAGAAAAGGTTAGCATAAGAAAAAGTGGAGTATATTGTTCTGTTGAGCTAATTGTTATTCTGACATTTTCCTACCAAACAGTCTCCAGAAAGCCCCCTTCACATCCCTGTTTCTCAAGCTGTAGATCAGCGGGTTGAGCAAGGGAGTTAAGACAGCATACAGTGCAGCGATTACATTGTCTTTATCTGAGGAAGATTTTTGTTCGTGCTTCAAATACATGATCATGATTGTACCATAAAAGACACTGACCACAGTGAGGTGAGAACTACAGGTGGAGAAGGCTTTTTTGCGACCCTGTGTGGAGCGAATGCGCAGGACAGCTAATCCTATGCGCCCGTATGTTACAACAATGAAACCAAAGGGTGATACCACGAGAACAAAGGTGGAAAGCTGCACATAGAGATTGCTAATGTGTGTGTCGGAGCAGGCCAGTTTGAGGAACGATTGTAGCTCACATACAAAATGGTTAATGATGTTTTGTCCACAGAAGTCTGTTGGCTGCAACAATATGTTGATCAAGGTATTCAGTAAGGCAAGGACCACACATAAAGACACTAAAGTAGTACAAAACCTCCAGCTCATGATCTGCACGTAGTGGAGTGGCTGGCATATCGCTGCGAAGCGGTCGTATGCCATAACAGCCAGAAGGACACATTCTATTACAACAAGTAATAGACCAACATACATCTGAACCAAGCATCCATAGAAGGAGATGGTGGGCATGTAAAAGAAGCAGTTGACCAGGGACCCAGGAACTGCATTGTTGGTGATGACGAGATCTACTGATGAGAGGGTGCAGAGAAAGAAATACATGGGAGAATGAAGGCAGGAGTCACCAATGATCAATACAATCATGAGGCCATTCCCAAGAGTGCTTATGAGGTACGCCATCAAGAAGAATGTAAAGAACACAGCCTGTGCTTGCGGGTGGCCGGATAACCCGATCAAGATGAATTCAGTCACCGTTGTCTCATTGGGAGTTCCCATGACATTCTCTGCCTTGTTCCTTCTGTGTGTGGGAGGGGAGAGAGAGAGAGAGAATAGGATGGTTTATAAGTGGCGCTGGCAGAGTTTTCATGAGCTTTAAAATTTTGAAGTACTTTCTCAAGTTGTGTTCTCATGTATCCATGCATTTCCTAAAATCCGGCGTACCGTAAACCCCACTGACCTTAATGAGGATGAAGTGGAATTAATTTTGTGGTTGATTAAGGTCATTGACACTGGTGAACTCAGTCACATGTAAAGCACAGACTCAATTGTGGCCATGACAACAGAGATCAATATTTAACACATTTATTGATTGATTGATTGATTTAATTTATACCCTGCCTCCTCCACCGAAGCAGGCTTAGGGCGGCTTACAAGAGCAACATAAAAACAGTAGTAACATAAATAAAATCCAGAACCTGACAAAAGTTAGTCAAATGTAAGAAAGGGGGCAAATATTAAAAACTTAATGAAGGAAATATATAAAAATACATGTATTTATTAATCAGAAATTTTAAAATTATATAAGGGACCAATCATACGTTATGTATAAATAACAAACGATAAAACACAAGGGCTTATAAATCTGACCTGACGTGTTTCGGCCTACATAGGCCTTCCTCAGAGGTCAATAGTGAGGAACACATTGGCTATTATAAAAATATAGTACAATCATGTAAATACAAAGTATGAATTCAATAAGGACCAGAAGCAAGTTGTTTCAAGATAAACCACCAGGCACAGCGTAAAAAAATAAATGAGGCCTCTAAAAGTGCAATCACATGCCAAGTGGTTCTCAGATATAAACTTCTCGTCCAGGAATTGCCTTCCTATGGTTGTAGAGCCAAATTGTCCTTAAGGAAAGAGCAGTCATAAATAAAACCATCTAAAAACAATTCCAAAACATAAAGTGCTAGCAGTTGTAATGCCTTTTACATTGGTTCTGTATTTAAATTCCGGTTTTATTCATTCCCCCTCGTAAATCTGTATCAAAATGACTCACACATTTTGAAATGCCTTCATGGACTGATATTTCCCTAATATTTCAAATTTATTATTATTACGGCCAATTGACCAGCAGTGCAAAGCCTGATAATCATCGGGGAGGTTTCATTTTTATTTAACTTCATCATAACCTTCCAGGTCACTGAGAAGTGCTACCTTTAAAGAATTAAACTGTGAAGTAATGTTATAATTCGGCTTGTACCTAGGCTTGCCAAGTTCCCCCGGGGGGTGGGGAAACCCCTGCCTAAGAGGCCCGTTCCCGCCGCCGGCAGATCGGACCCCGGGGGGAACTCCACCCCGACGTGCACGTCACCCGGAAGTGACGTGATGACGCCGGGCACGCTGGGGGCGGGGCCACGGTCATCCGAGGGAAAACTCTATGGTTGAGTCCCCCGCTGTGGCTCAGTTCTGACTTGGCAACCCTACTTGTACCTCTCTCAAGTGACTCATTCCTCCTTGGGAAAAAAAAAACAGCACTTGGCTGATAGAAAGCATGTACCAATATTGAAATTCCCTTAGCCTTTGAACATATAATGGAAAAAAATTGGGTTCCACATTGATCCCTATTCCACCCTGCTGCAACCAAGAGTTGTGTGACACTCTTTTGCTATAATATTTTTTGTACTAAATAATTGGGAAAGGAAAGCAGCATGGAATCACCCGAACTCATCAAATCTCAGAATCTAAGCAGCGTCAGTAGCAGTGTTCCCTCCAAGCTGAGTTAGTGTGAGCTAGCCCACAGTTTTTTAGCCTCTGGCTCACACATTTTTGTCTTAGGAAGGGCTGGCTCCAGAGCAAACTTATTTATGCAGTAGCCAAATCGCTTGCTCACCACTTTAATGCTAGTAGCTCACCAAGTAGAATTCTTGCTCATAAGACTCCACATCTTAGAGGGAGCATTGGTCAGTAGTACTCGGACGGGAGGCCACCAAGGAAGACTTTGCAGAGGAAGGCAATGAACAACTACTCTGCCTCTCAGTTGCTTTGTAATCCCCTTGCTACAGTTGCCATAAAATGGCTGTGATGTCATGGTATACTATTTAATATTATTGAAGGAAGGAAGGATGGTGGGGGGGGGGACAGAAGGACACATTATTGACATGATTGAGGTTTATAAGATTATGCTTGGGAAAGAGCAGGTAGAGAAAGAGGTACTTTACTCCCTTTCTCACAATACAAGAACTCGTGGGCACTCCATGAAATTGCTGAGCGGTCGGGTTAGAACGGATAAAAGGAAGTGCTTCTTCACCCAAAGAATGATTAACACATGGAATTCACTGCCACAGGAGGTGGTGGCAGCTTCAAGCATGGACTGCTTCAAAAGGGAATTAGATAAGCATATGGAGCAGAGGTCCATCAGTGGCTATTACCCACAAGGTATAGATAGGGGCTCTGGGGCAAGTGATGCTCTGTCTTCTTGGTGCTTGGGGGGGGGTCAACAGTGGGAGGGTTTCTAATGTCCTGGCCCCACTGGTGGACCTCCTGATGGCACTGGTATTTCTGGCCACTGTGTGACACAGAGTGTTGGACTGGATGGGCCTTTGGCCTGATCCAACATTGGCATCTCTTATGTTCTTATGTTCTTAACTAGGAACATTAGCTCAGAACCCAGGAACAAAGACTCAGTGTCAAGATTTTTTTGGCTTTATCCATTAACTCAGTGGTGGCTTTATTTATTTACTGATCTGCACCATAAAAAAGATCAAACCCTTTCCCTTTTTACTGCAGGTAACCTATGTACAATCTGCTGGGCTTCCAGCATATTTGGAAAATTCATACTTGCTTCTATACAGCCTTGGAGTGGCTTACAATCACCTTCCCTTCCTTTTCCCATGACAGACACCCTATGGTAGGTAGCCCTGAGAGAACTCTGAGAGAACTGTGACTGACCCAAGGTCACCAGCTGCTTCATGCGGAGGAGTGAGGAATCAAACTCAGTTCTCCAGATGAGAGTCTGCCACTCTTAACCACTACACCAAACTGACTCTCAAGCTTCATTATCCTGCATGTACTTTTCCCTCACCGCCACCCTGCATTTGGTCAGCCACCATAACTTCTCTTCATTGTTTGTTGTCTGTGGTGTTTGGCCCGAGATCCTTAGACTTTGAGCAGCAAACCTGGACTGTTCCTGCCATGGCTAGCGACAGCCTCACCAGTCCTTCAGTGGATCAGTCCCAAAGTTATACAACTCATTGTTAATGGGAAGGAGGCGGAAAAGGCCCCTGTTCCAGGCCAGTTGGGAAATGGTGCTGAGAAAGAAAAAGATTTTAGCTGGGTGGGTTGCTTGCTGCAAGTGAAGTCTCACAAATGAAAATGATCCAGAGGTTGGAGCAGATCTGGCCAAACAAATTAGCTGTCCACTGGAAATCTGGGCCAGAACTCAGAGCACCAGAGCAAATACCAAGATGTCTGGCTCTGAGGATGAACAGCATTTATCCACACATTACTTCTGTCAATAATGGGGATTTACTTACCTCGTGAGGTCCAGACCATAGGCAGGAATTCTTCAATATGTGTTCTTCATTCCATACCACAGCAAACAGAGTGTAAGAAAACCTTTCCCACTCGCAGCCTAGCCTTCCTTTTCAAGGCAAGAGAATTGAACTAAACTGAATCCTCTTTTATGAATATGTCACCAGTTCAATTTGGGTTTTTTTGGGTAAAGGTCAAAGCTTATGCTTACTATTTCAGCCTAGGACTGATGACCTAGAAGAGAGAGAACCAGAAGTTTTGCGTATGGCTGGAGGTCAAGTGAAGCTGATCAGCTCTCCAAGATTGCATCTAGCTTCCAAGGAGTAGAGCGATGAAAATGGCAAAAAAGCTGAAGTTCCTTTTCAAAGAAGCTCTTGGAAAAATGGCCCATGTGGGACATATTAAGAGATCTGCTCTTCATTCTTGTGAAAAGAACACCTCTGTCCACTCCTGGGTATAGAAGACAATGATTTTGCAGGTACTTGGTACCTACAGTTCTAAAAACTGTAATACCAGAGGTCCTCCTGGAATAGTACCCAGAAGTCTTGAGTAGAACTCTTGGGGAATAGCGTCAAAACTTTAGACTCAAAGATTAATTACTCTTTCATCTGATTAAAACTTTAAGAACACTATGGGGAATGTGGATGTAAGGAATCGTTGGATCTGCCCCAAAGCTTGATATTTTTTTTCATGGAGCGGCAAAGAGGGGGCACAGTTGCTAATTTAACTAAATTAATCGGTTAATCTTTTTCCTCCCACCACCAATTTCTCTCTCTTGTTTTGCGCTCCCAACAGTTCTGCAGGAGCAGCCCACCAAGTCACCTTGTGAGAAAGGATCGAAACACAACCCCCCATTGACCTCTGACACCCTTCCCACGTAGGTGAATGGAAGGGGTGCCTGCCATTAGCTCCACAGCCCAGTGCCCATTTTCCAAGGCAAATCTCCCCCTACCACCTTCTCCAAATCACGCTTTTGCTCAGCCCCGGCAGAAGGGGCCCTGCTTGGTGAAGAGAGGGTGGAGACGAGAGTCCCCCAGACTCCTTCAAAAGGAGCCACAGGAACAGCTGGACATTTTTCGGGACTTTGGAGGTTGTGACAGTAAAATGGGGTCTAAGTTCTCAGGAGAACTTTTCAGTGGCCCACAACTCTTGAAGGTCCAGGTGAAGGTAGAAGTTCGTGGTTGTACCTTGGCGAGGCTCATAACGTCAGGTCCTTCTTATGTGCCGGGCCTGGGGGCAGAGCCAGCTGTGCTGGTGTCAGGCATGCACTCCTTCTCTGCCGCTCCCATTGCTGCCCTCCGACCAGCAGCCCTAGTCTCTCTCCACCTCAGGGAAGATTCGGGGCAGGGGAGATTTGGGAGGGGGCATTGCACCCAGATCCCCGGGGCCTACAGGCTTGAGTTGCATAACATTACAACTCTCACTGTGATCCATTTCAGTGTCCTCAGTCATCACCAATATATAAGGATGGGCAAAAACCCACTCCTGAACTTAAATTCATCATGAATTTTGGCTGATCATGA